AAAAGTACAAAGTAATGACCCATGAAGAATTACAAAGAACCAACAGGAAAATAAATGTGTGCCTGAACTAGCAGCAAACTTATATATTTTATATATTTTATATTTTCTGAAATATTTTAGTTTTATTCTACAAAGCTTACAACTAGTGTGGCTCTTGTCCAGCTCCTTTCCAGCTTTCTTTCTTCTGTTGAAAATAAAAGTTATTTTGAATAATGTGGTAACCAAACAGTTGCTGTTTGGTTACCCACATTCAAAAAGCTCCTAGCTCAACCTGGATTGCTTTAATTGGTGTTGATCTCATTACCCCAGCACAAATCCTCAACGCTTTGTTATTAACTCTATCCAACTTCAATAGATTTGTTTTAGCTGTTGCTCCATAAACAAAGCATCCATAATCTATTGTTGACCTCATTAGTGCCCTGTAAATATACATCAATGACTGTTTATTTGCTCCCCAATCTTTCCCCACTATCGCTCTCATTAAGTTTATGACTTTCTTGCATTTTGATTCCACCTTTTCAACATGTATTTTAAGTTCCCTTTTGGTCTAACCACATACCCAAATATTTAAAATGATCTACTGTTTCCATATTATGGCCATATAAATTCAGGTTCTGTTTTTCTATCCCTTTCTTGCTGTTAAATATCATATGACAAGACTTACTTGTAGAAAGCTTAAATCCCCAATTATACGACCATTGTTCCCGTGGGGCGGAGTAAATTCAATTCAAATTCCAATTCATGAATTGAATGGAGGCCAATTCTGAAATTCTGAATTTTGCACAAGCCTGCTGAAAAGACTTGTTTTTAAAAGTGGGGAAATATGACGTCAAAGATTATAAAACACCACCCCCGCAGAAGAAGATCAACACTATAACACGGCCGGTTAAGCCCCGCCCACCGATTCACGCATAGATACAGTCGGCAACGCGTCATAGTTGGGGGGCGTGGTCGGCATGGGGGAAAGCAGCGCGACCATCCTATGTATTTGAATGACAAAAATGTCATATTGCGAGTCATTTATGCCAGCCGACCGGCAACGGTACATTGCAAAATTAACTGTAATAGGTTATGATTGCCCTTATTTAATTAAAAACTGGGCCAATGACCCAACCAAATGGCCGGAGGTGTCGTTTCCAGACTATTATATCTGGTTGAATCTTCAAGTAAGACATCGCGGAAGCTAACGGCAACACAAGCCTATACTCAATCAACTTGCGTATAAGTTAAGTGTATAAGTCCATAAAACCATGTCACTTACCAACTGTACGTATGCTTCACTCCAAACTATTAATCCTTTTGTGAAACGGTGATCAGTTTTAGCTACGAAATTGCAGAGGGACTTTGCTGACAGTTATCCGAATTCTCACAGACTGCAGTCTGATAACCTTCAGCTGATAACGCTAATGTGACTGAGAGACATATCCCTTATAAAAAAACAACTAAAGGAATCTTTTTGTATTTTAGGACAAAATATTATAGTAACGTTAATATTCCTATAGGAATACTATAGTATTTTGGGACATAGACTAGAAGTATAGAGGTATTAAAGAACATCACAGAAGTATTATACACTACTATAGAATACTAATAGCCATAGGATTACTATAGTTATTTTTCGTAAGGTATGTAACGTCAGACAAATCTGGCCCACTGCCTAATACGAGTTAAACATCTACTACTATCACACAGGGACCTCTACTCACACAGTAATCTAATAAGATATGATTATGCCATTTTGTCCTCCTATCCGGTTCTGTATGTATGTAAGAAAGGCTGTAGAACTTTTGTAGAATTTGTTAGTTTATTGGTGGTACAGAAAACGACACAGCAACTCTTCGGCATGATTGTCCCATGTATTTCAATGAGCGCCAAGGCAATGTTTTCCCCCACGGGCTAAATTCACACCACGTGACGGGGCGTTCCCGGGGGGCGTTCCCAGACCAACCGACTGTATCTATTACACGGATAGATTAATAACATACATGCCGTGATGACAAACCGGTTCAAGCAACCGAGCAATACAGAATATTGTGCAGCGCCTGGTTGTGGAAGACAGTCGCTCCATAAGCTTCCTTTGGATTCCAATAGGACTGCATGGATAAACTTTATTTTTAATGACGTTCCAGCTGATGAGGTTAACATCGTCGTCTGTTCGCTTCATTTCACTGAGGATTATTTTGTAAACAACACTGGATTTGCAGACCGATTAAGAGTAAAGAACGGTGCTGTGCCCTCTATATTGGATCTGACAGGAATGGTGCGACACATGGACTCTTGGTTGAACATGTATGGGCCAATCCGGTTGCCATTTTACAACATTGGACGTTTTCCCCCACGTGCAGCGAGGAGTGAGTTAAACTCATTATAATATGCAAAACTGTTCTCCACTCGCAGCAGTGGGCGTTTACTTCCAAGTCTTCAGTGCGACACACCCATAAAAACTGACCGTTTTTCAGGTAGGCTCGTACAAAATAGCCTATTACTTGTCATTTTGATGTTTTTTAATGCAAAAACCAAGCGAACATCATAAGTTGACCTCAGACAACAATATAATAAAATTTAAAAAGCTAGTTCATGACTCCTTTAAAACAGCACAAGACTTTAAGAATAGGCATTCTGTTTGTGTTGGGTGTTTTTAGAGAAACGTGTGCACTTTGCTCACGCGAACACGGAGCAGTTTTTCCTGTGAGTGACACTGGAAAACCCGTAGTGGATTTAATCGGAGTGATAACAGAACGCTTAGAGTGTAGAGAGGAATTGGCTTTGTCTCCAGTCCTGGTTTTGCGTCCGCGCCGTTAGGAGCTCAACATCTGTCTCGCATGCATGATCGCTCTAGACTAGATTAGAGGATATTTTAACTAATTTGTGGTAAAACTAGTCGATCACAAGTGGCTCAACTGGTGGATTTATAGATAAACTTATCTTTCAGGTATTTTGCCGACTGGCTTGACACTTTAGCGTGAGAAATCGGAGGTGTGGCGTGAGAGCGTGAGAATTGGCTCAATTGCGTGAGTCTCACGCTCAATGCGTGAGAGTTGGCAGCCCTGGTGGGGGTACATTAGTCAGTAGATCTAGTACATAAAATAAGTTATATACTAATGCATCTAATTCTGTTATTCTGGAACAGTCTTTTGTGTTCATTTCATGTCTCAAATATGTTGTAGTTTACCTTGCTATTTAATTACAGTTTACCATTACTTCAGCATATCTAAAAACATAGCGGAAGTCTCTCCATAATCCAAACGCTTTGCCGATGTTGATCCGTGTTTTCGTCCTAAGTCGATACGATTCATGTTTGGACTGACGAGTTTCAGCGGATAGATTTTTGTTTTGTTTTTATATTTAATTAAACGAGTTTGTGTTGGAGTGTGTGTTGTGCAGGAGGCAGGAGTGTTTTGGTGTTATCAGACTCTATGTCGTCAGCTGCAGTGTCGTCGCATAAGCTGTATATAAAAGGAGAGAGGCTCAGGAGCGCGCATGCACGTCACATTCGATGGATTTCGCAGAAAATCTGACCCGGAGACTTCACACTGAAATAAACTGGCCTTCAGAGGTAACAGCAAAACCCGACAAGTGGATCATTGTTATTTGTGATCACTACCCCTTCACACACAGGCAATAAAAAAAGGATTAATTTTAGAAGAAAAGTTACATTTAGCACCTTTAACAAGAACTTAGATTAATGTATGAATTGAATAGTGATTGTGTGACCTATGATGAGGGAACAACCATACCCTTGTAGTACCATCAAATGATAGCCTATGGCGATGTCATCAGGATACACATACACCGGTAGGCAGTGACCCACCTTACCAGGTGACCATGTGGTGGTCCACCAGAAATTATAGTTAATTCACCTCTTTTTTTTACCACTACACATCTGCTTATAAAATAACTATAATTAATTGTAATTACATACAATACACATTGTGGGGCGTCATTTTTCTGCCTTTTTTCTTTAGACCCCAAAAATAATAATAATAATAATTCAGCCCATCATTTTCGGGTTTAATGATATAAACTATAAAAACAAATGATATAAAATTGTTATATTAACAAATTTGCAAATGTTACAATAAAAAAATAAATCAAATTCAGGGAATTGTTTTACATTTATGAACATATAACTGGTTGTTGTTGTTTTTCTGCATTTCTTTCCAGTCTCTTTTCAATTTGGTATTTTTTATTTCCTTTGAGTAAGCGTTCAATTAAAATAATTTTCAATAATTTTCTTGTTCTCCAACATATAAAACACAAATCTTGCAGAATTTCACAGCAACACTAGTTTATTAGTTAACTAACTACACATTTACTTTATGTGAATCTAACAAAACATTTGCTGTGACACAGAACAATGCTTCCTCTAATATGAGTCAAGATGACTTGATTGGGTGAAACTCTTTCCACACTCGGTAGCACGGCTTCTCTCCAGTGTGAACTCGCTCGTGTGATTTCATGTTTCCAGAATGAGTGAAACGCTTGTTACAATATGAGCACTTGTAAGGTTTTTCTCCAGTATGAATTCTTTGGTGCAGTTTCAGATCATGAGATGTAGTAAAGCTCTTCCCACAGTCAAAGCACATATAATCTTTCACTTCATTGTGTGTTTTCTGGTGCAGTTTAAAACAGCTCAGCCTTGAAAAACTCTTTCCACAGAGAGAACACACATAAGGCTTCTCATCTGAATGAACTTTTAGGTGTGATTTTAGATTTGCTGATGAAATAAAATCTTTACCACACTGATCACAGTTAAATAGCTTTTCTCCAGAGTGAATGAGCAGATGAACACTGAGATTTGATGATTGAGAAAAACTCTTTCCACACTGAGTGCATGCATACGGTTTTTCTCCAGTGTGAATCCTCATGTGTGTGTTAAGGGTTTCTTTCTTTGTGAAACTCTTTCCACACTGAGTGCAGTCGTACGGCTTCTCTCCAGTGTGAACTCGCTCGTGTGTTTTCAGGTTTCCAGCCTGAGTGAAACTCTTGTCACAATATGAGCACTTGTAAGGTTTTTCTCCAGTATGAATTCTTTGATGCAGTGTCAGATCACGAAATCTAGTAAAGCTCTTCCCACAGTCAAAGCACATATAATCTCTCACTTCATTGTGTTTTCTGGTGCCGTTTAAAACTGCCCAGCCTTGAAAAACTCTTTCCACAGAGAGAACACACATGAGGCTTCTTATCTGAATGAACTTTCAGGTGTGATTTTAGATTTGCTGATGAAATAAAATCTTTACCACACTGATCACAGTTAAATGGCTTTTCTCCAGAGTGAATGAGCAGATGAACACTGAGAGCTGATGCTCGAGAAAAACTCTTTCCACACTGAGTGCATGTGTACGGTTTCTCTCCCGTGTGAATCCTCATGTGTGTGTTAAGGTGTCTTTTCTCTGAGAAACTCTTTCCACACTGAGTGCAGGTGTGCGTCTTTTTGGCTTTTGTTCTTTGAATTGTAAAGTTACGATGTTCCTCCTCCACAACATTCAGTTCTTTTCTTTGCTCTTTTAGTCTCGCCTGGTCTAAAATACACAGAAATACAGTTAGAATCAGTTTAAATGAACCCTTATTTAACAGCAGAAAACAAGAGAGATCTTTCACTTGTTATTCTGTCATTCACTTGTTAGTTAAAATTAGTTTGACAACTGCTATAAAAGGTTATGATCATTTAGATGTATTTCTCTATTATTTCATCCATATAATGCTATTTAATTCACATCTACCAAAGTATCGACAATGAAGCATCAAGAATGGACACCAACCTATTTGTTCCTCAGTATCTTCATGTTTTATTCTGGATGGTTCTGGATCACTCATGTCTTCAATCTCCTCTTTAATAAACTCCATCTTTAACAGTCACACAGATCTCAGCTGCTACTCCTAGAGTTCGTCCTTCTCTTGTAGGATGATGTGAATATCCCCAGTATTTATTGGTGAATTGTTGTGGGAGGGGCTTCACTGCAGGTGTGAACTGTGATCACTGTGTTTTTATCCAATCTGCATTTAAAAAGTACAGGGCCATCATGTTAAACTGAGCAGCTGAAAAACCTTTTTGTATGCAAAAGCTCCCTGTTTTCAGCTCATTCATTATGGTGATGTCTGAGATCTTCTGTAAATTGGCACATTATTTTTTTTATTGGTGTCAACAGGCTGAAACAAACTACAGCATCAACACCTTTAACTTCAGTTCTTGTCTTTGCTCCTTATGTTGTTAAAGGGTTAGTTCACCCAAAAATAAAAAAATTGTCAGTATTTACTCACCCTCATGTTGTTCCAAACCTCTATGTGTTTATTTGTTCTGCTGAACACAAAGGAAGATATTTGGAAGAATGTTTTAATGAAACGGATCTCATTCCCCATTGACTACCAAAGTAGGAAAAAGTACATTTTCTAACAGTACATTACTAACCCAAAGGGTTAGTTCACCCAAAAATGAAAATTCTGTCAGTATTTACTCACCCTCATGTTGTTCCAACCCCGTAAGACCTTCGTTCATCTTCGGAACACAAATTAAGATATTTAAGATATTAAGATCGCTCCTGCACACTAGTCCATAGGCTTCTTGAGGGACTGGCTCTTGCTGTCCCCGAAAAGTCATTAAAGACATCGTTAAAATAGTCCAAGTGACTACAGGGGCTCAATCTTAAGTTTGATCAAACGACGAGAACACTTTTGTGCGCAAAAAAACAACAAAAATAACGACTTTATTTCAACTATTCGTTTATTTCTCCCTCTGCGCGAGTCAGGTTACTAGTTTAATAGCGTAAGCTTCTGTTATTGTACGTCACTTGCATCACACACACATGACCAGCGTCGGCCAATAGTGAGCCTACGTGTGACGTAGCTCTACGCAATCACACTACGTTAACTGACTTACAGGCTCATGGAGAAGGAAGTGAATTTGTTTTATATAAATTACAGACATGTCATCTGAGGAATAATTCTAATTGTTCTCAGCTGTTTTGCTTTATTACCAGACTCAATATTTGGCTCGTTCTTACATAGTAGAGCACGTTCGCACATGCGCACTCTTCAAACACGTTATTTCCAATCTTTTGACAAACTAAAAGACGTAAATTCCATTTGTATGTATTCTAAATAAAAGACACCGGTTGTACTGAATGTCAGCTTGCTTATTTTGCTCAAGATAAGGATTTATTACCTCCAAATGTCATGCAATATAGAAACGATGCTTCTAACCACAGGTCGAGAGCTGTCGTTCAAACCACACAACTTTGCGATGCTGTTTGCGAATGTTCGTTGGAACGATGGTTTCGGGAAACACCGACTCGTTGAACTATGCTGATATCGACGGAACTTGCGACCATAGTTGGCAAACAATGCTTTCGGGAAACGCACCCCTGGTCAAAAGCTCATCCTTTCTCTTTAGTCTTCACCATACTTTCTTCGGCATCAAAGAAAAAGTGCTTCCTGTATCAATCACAGCGTTAAAGTGTGATTTGAGTGATTTAAAACCAAGGGCGTCTGCAGTACATTATTACACTGTGAGCTATAAGGAAGATCAATTTTTGTCTTTTTCCACCAGCAGAACTCTTCCTCTGTTCCTCACCTTTCTCTTGACTCCATCTTCTCTTATTCTCAGTCCAGTCCTTCTCAATTTGGGTGCCGAGGCGAACCAACTCATCAATAGTTTTCACCGTTCCCCTCAACAGTGACTCCAACCACCGATTGCAGTTCCTCAATGTTGCCTGCACTAATTCGGTTTCAGACAACACAGGGTTAATCTTTAATGACATCGCTCTATAGTTGGAAGCAAAGTCTCTCACAGATTCGTTGACCCTCTGTCGATAATTTGCCAATTTCTGGACAGCTACTTCCTTCAGGTCTTCATTCAACAAAGGCTTCGGACAACAAAGGGTTAATCTTTAATGACATCGCGCTATAGTTGGAAGCAAAGTCTCTTACAGATTCGTTGACCCTCTGTCGATAATTTGCCAATTTCTGGGCAGCTACTTCCTTGTGGTCTTCATTCATCTTCATTCATTCATCTTCAAAATGAAAACAGGAATTTTTCTTTGAATGAATCCCAATCTCTTATATACCGTTTCTATGCTCTCCACCAGTTCCCTTAAGACTCATGGATAACGCTGCCAACACCTCTTCGTGGGACATTGGTCTAAATTCATTATACTCTTCAAAGCGATCTATAAATTCAATGGGCTCTTCTGAATTCAAATTACTAAAGGTAGGTAAATCCATTTTAACAGAAGGCAGATGAGATGTAGAAGAAGGATGTGTTACTTGCCTCGTCGTATCTTGTGGTATAGATGTTATTCGATCTGCGTCATCAATGTTTGCGGCGGCCATATTGTTGACATAGAAACCACGGCAACTGTCAGTCTGTCAATTGACAAGCGAGGTAGCGTCGGTATTATCCATGGCATTATCACTGTTTTTTTTTTAAACTGCGTGATGGTGTGTTGTGTAATATATGGCTGTTCTAACAACAGCAATAAGAACCCCGGAGTTAGTTTTTATGCGATAAGTTGTCAGAAAACGTGAAGGGAAGGAGACAGAGTTGAGCCAGCGCAGGAGAGGCTAGCTAGGATAAATAGGCAAGGCAAGGCAGGCAAGGCAAGTTTATTTATATAGCACATTTCATACACAATGGCAATTCAAAGTGCTTTACATAGAAGAAATTAAAATAATCAAAAGAAATCAGAATAATTAAAACAGTTTAGAATAAAAAAATAAGAAATAATGAAAAATAAAAATTATGATAAAAATAAAATACAGTAAATTAAAACAATTTAGAATAAAATGAAGTGCAGTAACAGTCGGACGAACAGTGGCACAGTGCTCATTCAGTAAATGCACAGCTAAACAGATGTGTTTTGAGTCTGGATTTGAATGTGACTACTGTAGGAGCACACCTGATCTCTTCTGGAAGCTGGTTCCAGCTGCGGCTGGCATAATAGCTAAAAGCAGACTCTCCATGCTTAGAGTGAACCCTTGGTATTTCTAGCTGATGTGATCCTAATGATCTGAGTGATCTGTTGGGTTTATATTCAGTGAGCATATCTGCAATATATTGAGGTCCTAACCCATTAAATGATTTATATACCAGTAATAATACTTTAAAATCAATCCTAAATGTAACTGGGTGTAACTGGGTTAACCAGTGTAAAGACCTGAGGACTGGTGTGATATGTTCATATTTTCTGGTCCTGCTCAGAATCCTGGCAGCAGCGTTCTGTATGAGCTGCAACTGTCTTATGGTCTTTTTGGGAAGGCCAGTGAGGAGGCCATTACAGTAATCCACCCTGCTGGTGATGAAAGCATGCACAAGTTTCTCTAAGTCTTGACTGGAAACAAAGCATCTAATTCTTGAAATATTTTTCAGATGATAGTATGCTGATTTAGTTATTGCTTTGACATGACTATTGAAACTAAGGTCTGACTCTAGTGACACACCAAGATTCCTGACTTGATTTTTAGTTGTTAGACCCCTAGCGTCAAGGTATGCATTCACCTTGAGAACTTCATCTTTGTTTCCAAATGCAATAACTTCAGTTTTGTCTTTGTTTAACTGCAGAAAGTTTTGACACATCCAACCGTTTACTTCATCAATGCATTTGCACAGGGAGTTAATCGGGCTGTAGTCGTTAGGCGATAGGGCTAAGTAGAGCTGTGTGTCGTCTGCATAGCTGTGGTAGGCTATTTGGTTCTTTTTCATTATTTGGCTCATTGGGAGCATATACAGGTTGAATAGGAGTGGCGCAAGAATCGAGCCCTGAGGGACTCCGCAAGTCATGGATGTCCACTCAGACTTATGTTCTCCCATACTCACAAAATAACCTCTCCCTTCTAAGTATGACCTGAACCATTTTAGGACTATCCCAGAAAGCCCCACCCAGTTTTCCAGCCTGTCAAGAAGTATGTTGTGATCAACAGTGTCAAATGCAGCACTGAGGTCGAGTAGTACCAACACGGATAATTTGCCTGTATCAGTATTTAAGCGAATGTCGTTTATTATCTTTATGAGAGCTGTCTCCGTGCTGTGATGCGATCGGAAACCAGATTGAAAATTGTCAAAATATCCATTTGAGCTTAAGAATTTGTTCAGCTGATTGAAGACAACCTTTTCAATGATCTTGCCTATGAAAGGAAGATTTGAGATCGGTCTATAATTGCTCAAGATGGTCTTATCCAGATTGCTCTTTTTCAGGAGGGGCTTGACAACTGCAGTTTTCAGGGAGTTCGGAAAATTCCCAGAGCGAAGTGAGGCATTTACAACTTCTAGGAGATCTGCTTCTAAACAGTTTAACACACTTTTGAAAAAAGATGTGGGAAGTGTGTCAAGGGCGCAGTTTGATGTTTTAAGGTGCTGTACGGTTTCTACCAAAATTGTGTCATCAATTTCTTCGAAATCAGACATAGTAACTACTTTCTCAGGTTGTGGTCTGATCTGCCTGACCCCAGAGCAACTCAAGGATGTGCTGATCACCTTTCTGATGTTATTGATTTTCTCAGAGAAGAAAGAAGCAAACTCACTGCACTTGCTGTCTGAGAGCCTTTCTATGGGAATCTGGCTCGGGGGGTTTGTCAGTCTCTCTACAGTAGCAAAAAGAGTGCGTGTGTTGTTTATATTGCTGTTTATAATATTTGAGAAGAAAGTCTGTCTGGCTTTGCCTAGTTCCCCATTGAAAGCGTGGATGCTGTCTTTGTAGATGTTGTAATGGACTACAAGTTTTGTCTTCCGCCACATGCGTTCTGCTTTTCTGCATTGTCTTTTCATATTTTGCACAGCTGTTGAGTTTCTCCAAGGTGCTTTTTGTCTGCCACTATTCTTCCTGACTTTAACAGGAGCAATATCATCAATTACACTCTTAACTTTTGAGTTAAAAGAATCAAGGAGAAAATTAACAGAGTCAGCAGATATGCTTGGTTTTAAAGATATAGCCTTCATAAATAGCACACCAGTGTTCTCATTTAAGCATCTCTTCTTGACAGACACAGCTCTAGCTTCAACGGCAGGAGAGATTAATATATCAAAGAAAATACAGAAATGATCAGACAGTGCTACATCCTTAATAACGATCGATGAGATGTTTAAACCCGTACTGATAAGTAAATCTAGAGTGTGTCCACGATTGTGTGTGGGACCGTGTACATGCTGTGTCAGATCAAAAGTTTTTAAAACAGTTTTGATTTCTTTTGCCATATTGTTTTCTGCGTTATCTATGTGAATGTTAAAATCTCCAGCAATGGCAAAACAGTCAAACTCAG